AGTCATATCTACACCACCACATCAAGACCAAGCCTGAGAGACGACATAGTACTATGCATTTTCTAGGAACTTTTTGGTAACTTATTGCCAAAGGGGGAGAAAAATGTATAGATCATAGGCTTCGAGAGAGAGATAGTTTGCTTTTGTTCTCTCTTGTCTTTGTGGTTGAACTTTATTTGCTTTCACTTGCTTGAGATACTTTATTGCCCGTGTGATACAATGATGATCGTGTGTTTGATCATTTGCTACATTAATGCTTGTTAGATGACATTATCCTTTTTATCTCAATATGATCATTCACTTTGCTTGGTGATGAGTGCATGTATTTTGAATATTATCATTTTTAGCGCTCCACCAAGATGTATGTGACATGGGAGAGTAACTCATGAACCTAACTCTATGTGCATTTGCAGTCCAAAGCAAATCTTAAACTATGCACAAATTTAGGGGGAGCTCTCACATTTCACATACTTCTCAAAGCGACGATGTTTTTCAATCTTATTATCTTTTGTCGAAGCTTTGATCTATATGTTGTCATCAATTACCAAAAAAGGGGAGATTGAAAGTGCAACTATCCCTAGGTGGTTTTGGTAATTCCTAACAACATATAGCTCATTGAGCTAATACTATTCCAAGACAATTATTTCAGGAAAGCTCAATGAATGGCATGGCATGGATGAGAAAAGTGGATCCCTCAAAATGCTAAGGATAAAAGGATTGGCTCAAGCTTCAAGCTCAAGACTCTACATTTTATATTTTAGTGATCCAAGAGCACATTGAGTCTATAGGAAAAGCCAATACTATTAAGGAGGGATGAGGTGTTGCTTAATGAGTTTCTTGCTTCATAGTGCTTAGTGATATGCTCCAAAACCCTCAACTACTTTCCCACATCCACATATGACCTAAACCTAAAGTCAAACTCGGCCCCACCGATTCTTTCTATCCAGTGCCACCGAGTTCAGATGTCATAGCCACTGCCACAAACCCTAGGCAAATCGGTCTCACCGATAGGGATCTCGGTCTCACCGAGATGGGATTATAATCTCTCTGTTTCCCTTCGTAATGTTTCGGTCTCACCCAGATGAGCGATCGGTCCCACCGAGATTGCAATGTAAACTCTATGTTTCCCTTTCGTAACATTTCGGTCTCACCGAAATGAGCAAACCGGTCCCACCGAGTTTACCTGACCAACTCTCTGGCTAGCCTATTACCAAAATCGGTCTCACCGAGTTTGTGTAATCGGTCTCACCGAGATTACGTTATGCCCTAACCCTAACCATATCGGTCCTATCGAGTTGCATGTCGGTCCCACCGAAAACCCTAACGGTCACTAGGTTTACTAAATCGGTCCGACCGAGTTTTCTGATTCGGTCCCACCGAGATTGGTAAATTGTGTGTAACGGTTAGATTTTGTGTGGAGGCTATACATACCCCTCCACCTCCTCTTCATTCATGGAGAGAGCCATCAGAACAAACCTACACTTCCAACTTACCATTTCTGAGAGAGAACCACCTACTCATGTGTTGAGACCAAGATATTCCATTCCCACCATATGAATCTTGATCTCTAGCCTTCCCCAAGTTGCTTTCCACTCAAATCTTCTTTCCACCAAATCCAAATCCTGTGAGAGAGAGTTGAGTGTTGGGGAGACTATCATTCGAAGCACAAGAGCAAGGAGTTCATCATCAAAGCACCATTTGTTACTTCTTGGAGAGTGGTGTCTCCTAGATTGGCTAGGTGTCACTTGGGAGCCTCCGACAAGATTGTGGAGTTGAACCAAAGAGTTTGTAAGGGCAAGGAGATCGCCTACTTCGTGAAGATCTACCGCTAGTGAGGCAAGTCCTTCGTGGGCGACGACCATGGTGGGATAGACAAGGTTGCTTCTTCGTGGACCCTTCTTGGGTGGAGCCCTCCGTGGACTCGCGCAGCCGTTACCCTTCGTGGGTTGAAGTCTCCATCAACATGGATGTACGTTAGCACCACCTATCGGAACCACGGCTCAAAAATCACCGTGTCTCCAAATTGCGTTTGAAATCTTCAAACCCTTCCCTTTACATCCTTGCAAGTTGCATGCTTTATTTTCCGCTGCTCATATACTCTTTGCATGTTTGCTTGAATTGTGTTAAGATTGCTTGACTTGTGCTAAGTTTGCTAAAATCTGCCAAAGACTAAAATTGGAAAAATGTTAAGTTTTTATTTGGTCAAGTAGTCTAATCACCCCCCCTTTAGACATACTTCAAGATCCTACAGTAACTTTACCATTGTAACCCTGGGGGGTTGACCTATGAAACCCCCCAAGAGGCCTCAATGTACAGGGGCGAGACGATAAGTAGAACACACGCCTACACACACAATCCAGGGAGAGGGAATAGCCTATGCCTTGGCCTGTCTTCCATCTTCCACCGAACAGCTCTAGGAGCTACTCTGTACCATATCATATAAACCAACCTCGGCAGGACTAGGGGTGTTATCTCTCTGGAGAGCCCCGAATCTAGGTATGTCTTGCGTCCCACGCTCGCTCATGCGGACCTCGTCTCTGAGCCCACCGATGCCCTCAAGCCGTCTCCTCTCTTTAGCCATCCTTTTGGCATCTGCCGTGCGCCCACCACGACACTATAATTAAGTACTTGGCCTCTTAATATGTGTGGTATTTGAAGTACTAGCTCCATCGCTAACAAAACGGTTGCAAAACGAATATGGTGTGCCTCATGCGAGGAAGAACAACAGATAGTGAGGCCACGAGAGCCTAACAACAAAGGCTTAACGAATGTCATACTGGATAGACAAGATGGCATTAACGTGACGTTCCTTACCTCTCATGTCATTATGTCATGTATTGGTCACTTCGATGTTCAAAAATAATGCATAGATATTGTCACAAAGCACTTTTATCTCCCTTCGCTCTGTTCACAATTATCCACCTAACTCATTCAAGCTCTCTAGATAGTTTTTAATGACTTTCGATGTTTTATGCAGTGAAGAAGAAAGTTATGTTGATTATCACTAGCAACTCTACAAACTAGTTATCTTTTACGGGCGTGCAAACTAGTTATTTTTTGCGGGTGTACAAACTACTCCCTCAGTTCCAAAATAGATGACCCAACTTTATATTAACTTTGTACTAAAGTTAGTATAAAGTTAGTATTTTGAAACGAAGGGAGTAGTTTGCTAACAGAAATCAAGACATGCAAACGCCAAAATAACAAGTGTGATGTACACCTAGCTAGTCGAGTGATTTCGTGGCAACACAAGTACACGGCTCCACCCTACTTTCACACGACTCGTATCGTAATCTGGCTAGTATTTATCATTTGATCTACCATGTCTGCTTGGGGTGTCTCTTCTAAATGGATACTTCTTTGACGTGAGTACATTTGCGCGTTTAGGAGGTGGATAATTTAGTTACATGATGACTATAATCAACAGTACCCATGCCTATGTAAAGAGATACTTATTTTACAAGTCAAAATTTGCCCTTCTCGACATCAATAGCTTCGAGTTTGTTTCATTTTCTTCACCCGCACAAAAAAAAAGAGTTTGTTCATTTTCTTGCTTATCTGTAACAATACCCTACCAATTTGGACTTGGGACCATATCGAGATGTTCTTAACTACTCCCTTCGTTTCTAAATATTTGTCTTTTTAGAGATTTCAACAAGTGACTACATACGAAGCAAAATGAGTGAATCTACACTCTAAAATAGGTCTATATACATCCGTATGTGATAGTCTATTTGAAATCTCTAAAAGACAAATATTTAGAAATGGAGGGAGTACATATGAGTTCTCTTACACAAGGCATTTTGCTCTTTCGGTGTACAAACCATGCGGACAAGTATATAGTCTATGAGGAAGCAATCAACTTTGCAAGATTCCTATGACAACACCGCAAATCTCATTTGATCTCCATTTGTATCTGACCAATCGATCAATTCCGTTCTGTTCTCCTATCGATTTTAAAAAAAAAAATCTCCTATCGATTTTAGAACCAGAGATACGTTTTATATATGAAACCCAAGGGGCACTTTGATATCGACAAACTAACGCGCCTATCCTAAGAGCGTAAACCGCAGAGGTAGACGTATTTTCTGGGCGGCCCAGAATACGCCTTCGTCCTCGCTCTTCTTCGCGAGCTCGAGCCTGAAGCTCTGAAACGACACGAAACTCTCGACACTCTAGCCGAAAAACCCAATCCAGTACAGCGGCCGAGACCTCTTGCCGCCACGCCGCCGGCCGCCGCCGCCACCCATGCTGCGCGTCGTCTCCGCCCTCCGCCCGCTCCTCCGGAGCCCTCTCCTCCCGGGCCCTAAACCCCTCCCTCGCCCCCGCCGGCTGCCCCGGTCGTTCCGCGCCCTCTCGTCCTCGGCGCCTCTCGCAGCCTCCCCGCCCAGCGCGCCCGCACCTGCGCCCGGGGTGGTCCAGATCAGCGAGGAGCACCTCGTGCGGTGCGCGGCAGCGGGGAGGGCGCCGCTGCGGGTGGCGGTGCTGCTGAGCGGCGGGGTCGACAGCAGCGTCGCGCTCCGCCTCCTCCACGCAGCCGGGCACAGCTGCACCGCCTTCTACCTCAAGATCTGGTTCCAGGTCCGTACACACTCCCCTGTCGCTATGCTCTGCAATGCTACGCTACGGGATCACTTAATAAGCTCGGTGTGATTAATCTGTAGGAAGATTTCAGGAACTTTTGGTCCGAGTGCCCGTGGGATGACGATTTGAAGTATGCACAGGCCGTGTGTGACAAGGTATATTTCAGAAAATTCATCCGGTGCATGCTGTTTCATTGAAATAGCCAGTGTGCAGCATATGTAAGCTAGCTCTGGCTGCATGAACTGACTGATCTAATGTGTTTGATTTTTGTAGATTGACGTGCCATTGGAGGTGGTACATCTATCTGATGAGTACTGGAACCATGTGGTGAGCTTCATTTCAAACTTTTTGCACCTGATCCTATGTTTTTCTGCATTCTGAGAAACTATAATGGATTTTATATCTAGGTGTCTCATATGATTAATGAGTACCGCAACGGACGCACACCGAACCCTGATGTTCTTTGCAACACAAGAATAAAGTTTGGTATGGATGTGCACACTTCTATTACTGAAATTTGATTGTGCATCGAGGTATAGTCTTTGAACTGTGTTCATGTGCTTATTCTTTTTCACTCATTTTCTGCAGGAGCTTTCTTAGAAGCAATTGAAAATTTGGGATTTGATTACATAGCTTCAGGACATTATGCACATGTAGTCCATCCACCTGTTGAGAACGCTGAAGAGCCATTGGTGCTCCAACTTTCGAAAGACGAGGTGCTTTAAAATAGCTTGCTTAGCCTCAGTGTTACTGAATTTGATGTCAATTGAGTTCTATTATTCACCCTAGAAGGAAAGTTGTGATACAGTGAAACAAATAGATGGTTCTTCTGTTTAAATAAATATTGGTTAGTCGAAACCACCTTTCAGACTCTGATTGTTGTTTCAGATCAAGGATCAAACTTATTTCCTCTCACATCTCTCTCAAGCCCAGCTTAGAAGGCTTCTTTTTCCACTGGGGTGTATAACAAAGGTGATATATTTTATCAGATAAGGATAGTTAAGTTTTTTCAGGATCTGGTGGTGTATTTATTTGTAAATGGAGCTCATCTTTTGCAGGATGAAGTTCGCAGTCTGGCTGTTCAGATGGACCTTCCTAACCAAGCTAGAAAGGATTCTCAGGGGATATGTTTTCTCGGAAAGGTTATTGCATTAATATAGTTGTTAATATTTCACATGTTTTGTGCAAAATATGGTTCTGTTCTTTATCCTTGTGTTGTCTCACTTTAAGCTAAAAAAGTCACTCTTTCTAGGTCAAATTTAGTGAGTTTGTTCAAAGACATATAGGAGAAATGGAGGGTATACTTCTTGAGGCTGAAACTGGAGATTACCTAGGGATGCACCGTGGGTTTTGGTTCTATACGATTGGTCAGCGACAAGGTTTGCGACTTTCTGGAGGACCTTGGTACGCACTGTAGATGATACTAGCCTCTTTTATGGTACAAATCAGCTAAATTAAATGTATATTAGCCTGAAGTATTCTGCAATTCAAGGAAGATCTGTCCTCGTGTAGCACACATCTATTTATCCATAAATTCATCAAATGAGTGGTCATTTTATCTTACGCAGGTATGTTGTGGAGAAAGACGTGCAAAATAATGTGGTTTTTGTATCAAGGAATTACTATTCACTGGATAAGAGGAGACGAACTTTTCGTGTTGGATCGTTAAACTGGTTTAGCGATTCTGGGCCAGCAGACAATGAACGCCTTAAATGCAAGGTAACAGAGTTACACAATCAGCCCTTGTGGTAGCGTAGCATATTTGAATTTTGACGTTTCTACCATCTGCAAGGGTTAAAGAGTGTTCTTGGCTTCTTGCAATAGATGTACAGTATATGTCTGTAGTTAAGCAATTCTGAAACCGATCAGTTCTACCTTGACCTGTTCACTAATTTAAATCTGGCCTTATAGGAAACTATGGCAGCAGCTTCAAATCCAATCAATGCCATGTATCTCCCCTGCTCGATCTATCTTCTTTTTTATACACTGTCTCTCTCTAGCGTTTAGATCAAGCATGGCTCTGCTTTTGTTATGTACTGCACTTTATCATGTCAGTTAGGTGACATCCATGCTACTCTCAATACCAGGTACGGCACAGTCCTGATTTCCATGATTGCACCGTGACAAAAGAGCAAACCGAAGAGAACGGAGATGTTTTGGCGGTTCGTCTGTCCGAAGACGACCAGGGTTTAGCAGCTGGCCAGTTTGCAGCGTTCTACCGTGACAGTGCGTGCCTGGGGTCAGGCATAATCCTGGATTCCTGGGACGAAATGAGCTTCCCTGTGTGCGCAAAGGCGCTGGAAACCGCTAGGATGGAGGACAAGTCCAAGCTGGGGAAGCCCGTAAGGATCATGAACCTGGAGCATCTTGTGAAGCCAGAACCGGAGCCGGCCAAGGTCGCTTGACAGGCATGACCAAGTTTTTGTACCATTGTCTTGTCGTACATCACCAGTATCATGGGAAGATATATTCATCTGACAGTGTGAAAGTTGACACGCCCTGCAAATGCAAGGATCGGTGAAGTTCCAGAAACCATCGTCATGCTGCTCCGATCAGGAGCTCCATCCAGGTGGTTCTTTAAGAGGTGGCATCCATTGGCGACTTTGCGTTTGGGAGAAGAAATGCTTTGCCACCGGATAAAAGTGGTGATGGAGCATCAATCAACGCATGATTGCCCATGCAAGAACTGACCTGGCCTGACATAGTTGCCGGGTCTAAGCAGGAAAGGCAAGCGGGCGAATGGATAGGCCTGTTGTTCCCTCTTGAGCCAAAATGTCTAGAGTAGAGTGTTAGTAGTCAGCGGTACCACTTCTAACTGATGCCCTGTGAAGTTATGATACGGCAACGCTAATTTTTATTAATCAATCAACAGGTTCTAGACTAAACCAGGATGGTTAATCACAAAATCATTCTCCTTTTTGCATGGCAGCATTCTGGAATCTAAACTGGCTGCGTGCTTGATTGTACTAGAATGAAGGCATGTGTGGGCAGCTGTGAGAGAGATTAACAAATTGTAAGCATGTAGCACATGGAGAGAGACGTGGTACCGTTCGTCATGTCGCCGCCTGGATTCTTTCTGGGGTAAGAGATACCAGACCAGGAGTAGTAGCACGTACTGATTATTTTTTTTGTATAAAAGGCCAGTAAAGCCACCTGGGCCTGGCGATTTTTCTGAGGGCATATCCTTGATAATGTTCCTGGTCTCAACCTTGGAGAAGCAGACAGGTTTATTCGTGAGTGCAGATTTATTTAAAAATGGTGGCCTTTTTGTCCACCTAGTGCATTACCTCTATATAAACAGTGATACCATTTAGTTATACCTCATCTCACCTCCGATCAAGAGCTGGCTACGTACAAATCGGCCATATCTAGCCACCTATACCTACAGCCCGACCTCCTGCCGATCTCAGGCTAGCTAGCAGCAGCTGCCATGGCATCTGCATCCGCTCTCAAGACGACGGCCGCCGTGTTCTTGCTGGTCCTGGCCCTAGGGCACCTGATGGCTGCCGCCGATGCGTCTCCGCACCACCAGGATGCTCGACGGCTGCTCGCAGAGCACAACAGTACAACAGTCTCTCCGCGAAACCGGGCCTCCCGGTAGACGCAAGGGTCGTCGTCGGACCACAAGAGCAGCCCGGAACCACCGCCGTTCTGACGGATGCCGATGGCGAACCCTTGTGCCCCTGCTGGCCCTCATGCTGCTAGATAGCCAGCGGGCAAAGGATGTTGATGCTCAGTTGAAACCATCATGTGCCCTGCGCTAGAATAATCACGGCATGGCTGAGTCCCAGGCATGAGCGAGTTGAGTCTGTGTGTCAGAGTCAGTTCGTGTCGCATCGTTTTAAGTCGGGTCGAGTTGTTGTTGGTCGAGTCTACGTTTGTTGCAGGATGTGTGCAGGACCGTTGCGATTGGGTCACCGGTCCACGCGGAGACACCGGCGTCCTTGCTTCTCTTTATTTTCCTGCAGTATTGGTATTGGTGGTCTGTTATCTACGTCCAACTCTAAATACAAATTATATTGAAGTTGTGGCTGTAATATTTGTTTCAAGCAATACCAAGCTATCACTTCGGAATTATAAATATTTATGTTTGCACTCCATTCAGCTTTGAAGGATCCCACAGCTTCAAAGTATAGCTATCACTTCGGAATGATAAGTATGTATCATAAGTTAATAATCGAACAATCAGTGAGCTAAGAAGAGGTCATTACCAACTACAGCGTCTCCAATGATGCTATCCTAGGAGTGCCACGTAGGATAAATGATGTGGTGGAGGAGAGATAACTCGTAAGAAAAGGCTTGTCTTATCTTATTTAAGAGAAGACAAGAGATGATCTCTTAGCACAATATGTCTCATCACGTTTTTAGGAATAGCTAGTTATTGAAGATAAGGCTAAGACATGACCCATTGTAGACGTCTTTTTTTGTCATCTCTAAATTACATGCAAGACTTAAGATAAGACTATCTTATCAACCATTGTACATGAGCGCATCCACTGCTCAAAATTAGGACTAATGTTGTTTCACAGTAAAATGTTTCCATGTGGATCGAATCTCTTGACGAATTTGTCCTACCTCTTGATCAATTGTTATCATTTCCGGACATTAAAACCAATGGTCGGATGTCTTTTTTTTTTGAGAAATTTTAGGATTTTATCCAGTTAATATGTGGAGGCCTCTAAATTAGGAGTCTCAAATTAGTAAATACAAGATTATCTAAATGTAACTCAACCGCCGCATGGGCGACTCAGGCGTCAATTGGATCGCCACCACCTCCAGTCTTCATCCCCAACCCTTCCATCAGCTGCCGCTAGAGCTTGATGCTTGAAAAAACCCTAGCAACAACCATGATTGGCTTCAATTCTCAATGTTTAGATAATGGAAACAAAAAGTATTCGGCCTTGACCCTGGCAGGCTACAACCTGCTTATTATGGATCACGACATGCCTCTACCTTCATCATGCCTCAATAGTTGCACCCAGAAGCATAACCAGGGAGTGCCCCTTAGAGTACCTGCATGCATGTTTTCATAGGAGTTTTGTCAAAAAACAATGTCACTACAACTTAGACAGATGGCCCAAAACATAGCTGATGCACCTACTAAGATGTGATTTTTTTAGTCTCATGTGTCAAAGCCATTAAGCCAAGATCCAAACATATGAGTGACATTTCTAGGAGGTTCTATGACAATCTTGAAGTAAATAAGTCTCCAAATGAATCTAGCATAGCAACAGTCAAAGAAAAAGTGATGAATAGTTTCTAAGTTACTACATAAACTACATTTTAAATTCCATTTCAAGTTTCGTTTAGCTAGATTATCTTTAGTCAACACAACTCCCTTGATTTACCACATAAAGACCTAATTTTTAACAACAATTTTAGTTTTCATAGTGTCTTGTTGTTCACCACATGTCCAACATCAATCACAGCTTCGTACATGGAGTTTTTTTTTGGTGAGAAAACTTCTGATCTATTCAACTTCAATCATGGCAATACAATGAACACCAGAAATAATAAAAATTACATACAGATCCATAAACCACCTAGTGACGACTACAAGAACTGAAGCAAGCTGAAGGCGCGTCGCTGTCATCGCCCCTCCCTCGCTGGAGCCGGGCAAAACTTGTTGTAGTAGACAGTCGGGAAGTCGTCGTGCTAAGGTCCCATAGGACCATTGCAACAGAGCAGCAATCGCCGCTGATGAAGTGTAGTGTAGATCGGAAGGATCCAACGTGAAGACACACGACTGTAGATGAACTACGACCAGATCCGAGCAAATCCATCAAGGACAGATCTACATGAGACACCTCCACACGCCCACCTACGATGCTTGACACACCATCGGAATGGGGGTCTAGGCGGGGAGAACCTTATTCCATCTTCAGGGACCTGCCGTCGTCTCGTATTCCTGCGCAGGACGCAAACCCTAACAAAACTCGAAGGAACATCTAAAAATGGAGCCCTCCCACCATCAAGGGCTGGGACCCACCACGCCGCCATGGCCCTAAGGCCACTGGAGACGAGGCGGATCGACGGCGGCGCCGGCGGGAGGCAGAGAAACCCTAAGGCCTCCTTTGATTTGAAGGATTTTTTATAGTAAAAATGCTGGAATGCTCATTCCATAGGATTTGCTACTGCATCACCATTTGATTTGCAGGAACCAGTCCGGAGGAATACAGTTGGGAACCACAGGAACATTGTTGGTTTCCTATGATTTTGCAGGAAGTGGAACATCGAGTCATTTTTACACGAGGACCGAGGCAAAAGGGATAGAGCTGCATATCAGATTCCTCTCATGACTCAACCAATGCTTTCCGTGAGCGCAATCCAATGGAAAGGCCCGTGCAAGTACAGAGCCTGTGTGAGTTTGGTGCATGTCCTGTGTCTAGCCCAGTTTAGAGTGGTGCATGGCTTCTCTACTAAATAATGCATTCCTTCGTTTTCAGTACCCACATTTCAAACGTTCCATTAGTTCCATATTTCTATACTTTTCCTCTGTTTTACATCATCCTTCGGTTCACAGCGTAGGACAATGATAGAAATAGGAAATTCATAGGGAATGGGATGACATGTATCACAACAACATTTTCTTTCTTCCACTGGAAGAAAGAACACCCTTGGCTAGGGTTTCTCGTGCCTCCTGCCAGTGCCGCCACCGTTCTATCTCGTCTTCTGTGGTCTTAGAACATTAAGGTGTGGTGGACCCTGGCCCCTGCCGGCGGGAGTGCTCCCATTTTTCATACTCTTTTGAGTTTTGTTAGGGTTTGTGCCCTGCTCAGAGAGACAAGGTGGCGACGGCTCTCTGCAGATGGAATAAGGTTCTCCACGCCCCGTCTCCATCCTGGTGGTGTTTCTAGCATAGTCGGAGGGCGTGTGGAGGTTTGTCTCCGGTGGATCTCGCGGGATTCGGTCTTCGTTTGTCTTCGGTGGATCCATGTGGATCTTGTCTCTATTCGTCTGTGTTCGTGTGTCTACAGGTTGGATTCTTCTGATCTATGCTTCTCTTCATCGGCGACGGATGTTGTTCTAGTGCGCTGGTCCTATGGTGCCTTAGCACGACGACTTCCCGATTGTCTACTACAACAAGGTTTGCCCGGCTCCGATGAGGAAGGGGCGAAGACGGCAGCGCGCCTTCGGCTCGCTTCAGTGCTAGTAGTCATCGCTAGGTGGTCTATGGACCTAGATGTATTTTTTTACTTCTGATGTTCTTTGTACTACCTTGATAGTTGGTGAATAGATTGGAAGTTATTCTCGCAAAAAAATGACATGTATTTCAAATCCTATGAGTGGAACAGAAAAGGAGATGTCCTTTGATTCATATCATAGGATTTTTTTAATTGAGTCTAGACTAATGTTTATTTTCCTACGAAATGTTGAGAATAGGAACGATTCTATTCCTATAAACCAAAAGGCTCTAAAGGAAAATTTTCCTATAGAAACCCTATCCTATGAATTTCCTACATAATTCCTCCAAACCAACACCTGCATTCCTT